AATGAACCAAAAAAACAGGGCTCTCTTTTGAATTCCACTTAGTGTTAAATATTGCACTACATTTCGTTTAAATTAAATTTGAAAAGCAATTTCAGAGTAATTCAAACACTAAGTAAAGAATTTATCGAAATACTAATACGGTAGTACTTAAAAAAAAAAAAAAAAAAAAAAAGAGGGACAAATCATTCATGAGCGGCTCATCCGCAGGATGGCGTTCTGATAGGCTCTATAAAATTGATTGGCGATATGCAAAAAGGGTTGTTCCACTCCCATTCCCGGAGGTAACGAGGAACATTCAAAAAATTCCAGACCGTTGGATTGCGCGAATTCGAGGCCTTGATCGTATGACACGTGTCGTCGTTCCGTTAGATCGATTTTGGCCCCGATTAGTGCTCCTGGTGTGACTCGATCGCCGCGGCATTTCTTAAGCAGTTGCAGCCATTTGTCACAATTCTCAAAGGATTTAATATTCGTTGTGTCATAAATCAACAACACCATCGACGCGTTATCTAAGTACTTGATTGCCAGCTCACGAAAAATTTCTTGCCCCCCAACGTCGAAAATATACAGTTCGACAATCACAGGATCTTTCCCATCTTCATCATCACCATCTCCTCCTCCTCCTCCTCCTCTTCTTCTTCTTCCTACTAATCTTCCTTCTCCTCCTCCTCGTGTTAATCTTCCCTCTCCTCCTCCTAGTATCCCCCCCCCTCCTCCTCCTCCCAGAGGTGAAAACGGCTCGTCTTCGTCACTGCTCAGTCCGGGCGACTTCGACATCATCATTGTCGTTGACATCAACTTGGAAGCCCCCGAGATAGTGAGGGGAATGGGGACGACGACCAGACTAACGCCAGCTGTCATCTTGTAATTCTTTGGAAAGCTTGCCCCTTTCGCATTAAGCATATCGACCAAGGACGTTTTGCCCACACCCGCATCTCCCAATGCCACCACCTTGCACCGAAGAGTCACCCCCATCCTCTCACGACTCTTACCAATCGCTCGATTCTTGATCGTCCGATCAATCAACCAATCAATCAATCAATCAATCAATCAATCAATCAATCAATCAATCAATCGAGCAAACAACCAAACAAACGTCGATCAAACAATCACCCCCATCCTCTCACGACTCTTACCGATCGCTCGATTCTTGATCGTGCGGTGAATCAATTGATCAATCAATCGATCAATCGAGTAAACAACCAAACAACCGTCGATCAAACAATCACCCCCATCCTCTCACGTTTCCTACCGAGCCATGGACTCTCGATCGTCCAATCACTAAATCAATCTTCAATCAATCAATCAAACAATCAATCGATCAATCGATCAATCAATCAATCGATCAATCAATCAATCGATCAACCAATCAATCGATCAATCACTCTACCAATCAATCACTCACTCAATCAATCAATCAATCGATCAATCAATCGATAATAAGTCGGCAATGAATCGACAATAAGTCGGCAATAAGTTAATCGCCGAAACAAATATATGAAACCAATCAATCAATTAATGGACGGGTATTGACAAACCAAATCGACCAATCAATAACGCGCCGAATAGCATATATCAACACATGGTATAGGATGCGATGCGATGGGATGGGATGGGAGGGGAGGGGAGGGATGGATGGACGGATGGATGAATGGATGGATGCGGATAGATAGGGACGAATGGACGCATCGAATGGATTGATTGGTCGGTTGATTGTTTGATTGATTGATTGATTGATTGAGGGAAAGTACGGATGGATGGATCGATGGATCGATGGATGGGTGTATGGATAGATTGATGGATGTACCGTTTGACCCCTGGTGAGTTATGTAACAAGACAATTACTGTAATTATTTTATTTATAATAACATCATAACAGATAAGCATAGTTCTTTTCATAATCGTATATATTTCATCATATAATAATTCTATACTAATCAAACGATATATTTTACATTTGCAAACTAACGGATCGCGCGCTGACGCAACACGATAGAGGTGGGAAAAGTGTGTGTGTGCACGTGAGAGAGAGAGAGAGAGAGAGAGAGAGAGAGAGAGAGAGAGAGAGA